TGGCTTCTGATAATGGATGAAATGATTATAGTGATTCCTGTGAATAGCCTAAGTTTGGGAGGAAACATAGCTGTGTTCCTAGTTGAAGCTAAGAAGATAGAAAGAAGTGTATGATTGAGATTTTTCTCTATCCAAATGTAGCTTACCACCTGTGAATAATAGATGATAGTTTTGAGTTTTCCTCTACAGGCCTAATCTGATGTTTGGAAGAAAGAAACTACTGTGCGTGAATTTGAACATGTATTTCTAGAACTCAAAATCATTATTATTAGTTGCTTCTTCTGTGATAAATTCTTGCCATGTATGAGTAGGTATTCTGAAGAACTTAGTATCACTTAAGCATAGCTTTAGCAAGTTTTCCTTTCTGGGCAACGTCTCATCATTAGGAAAATGATGGTGTCTGAATTTTGGCAAATACATATTTTGACATTATGCTTGATACTTCATGTCCATTTTTTAGACAAGGATATAGGATAAAGCAACAGCCCTGTGAAGATTGCTAGGTGACCTTTTCAGAGTTGTAGATGTCAAAAAGCATTTCACATTTGTCCTGTTACATATTTCTAAAGCCTTAGTCACCCTGTAATCTGATGAGGATTCGTGGCTTTGCTCCTTCTGAAGAGATTAATTCTGAGGCGTTATGATGGACAGTTCTCATCTTCCACCCAAGTTTGTCCTCTGCTTGGTATTACCATAGAAGAAAACCCCACAATGCCTTGCTGCTTAGTGCAACACATGGATAAACGCTATATGTGGATAAAAGCAATATGTTGGTAAAATGAACTTTTCTGACCTAATGTTTAATAAATCAATGTCTCAATAAAGAATGGATGACTTAACCTGTGAGACAGGAAGGTGAGAAACAAGTCAAGGAAAAGGAGTGCTTTCACAGTCTATTCAGACTCTCTGTTGATTAAGGCCATCTAGTTCTAAAAGAGGTCAAGTGTCCAGCTGTAACTTCACTGTCACACAACAATTCAGCTTCTGCAACAGCCTTTCTACCAAAACACACTTCTATGAATTGGTCTATTAAAATGAGTTAGACCCTGCAGAGTGACTGCTGGTCCGCAGTTACTGTGAAGGGTGAAGTCCTTGTCACTGGCTTTCTTCCTCCTGTAAGCAGAGGTGAACATTTTATTTTATGAGGTAAACAGTTCCTGTAAATTAGTAGTGAATATGTTTTAGAAGGACAAACCTTTCCACAGAGAATAAGGTCACTGTTTTAATTACACTGTTTTAATGGGGTTTTGACTTAGCTGCTGTCATCTGTTAGTTCAAGAAATGTTAGGAACTATTTTTGCCTCATTTTTAGTGCTAGAAAAGATAAACAAGAAATAGTTGCAGCTTTATGAACAACAAAGACAACATTTTATGTAAACATCCTAAGATACAGAAGGCCATGTGAATAGAATGATACTGGTCTCTGACCAGTTTCTGAGCCAATACTTGTTGGTATTTGAGAGGGCCTCTCTTACTGAGATGACTAATAAGGTGAGCAGGTATGTACCTTTTCTCTAGACATATCTATGCATAATTCTTTTTAGTCCATACTGTGCATTTTCCAGAGCACATGAGGGTGTTTTCCTGGCTCAGAATAAATTATTCCTTTATATGCTATGCACTACAGAGGGATGTGTAGGTGAAAGGGGGTGAAAGAGAAAAGGGACAGTTGCAAAGTTACAAGGGAAAAAATACAGAGGGGAGAATAATTTCCCCTTTGTCCTCAGTATTATAACAGAAGGACAGATACTAAATGGACCCAGCTGAAGGACACAATGCTTGGAAAAAATGATCACAGTAGCATCTGGGGGAAAATTATAGACATGAGCTTGAAAAAACATGGGAAATGATGGGGAGGATTGCTCTTTAACTGATAAGTAGATGGTCAAGAAGGGTTTTCTTCTACTGCTTATTTTTTTCCCCCAAGCTTATAAATGGTATTATAAATGTGTTCTCTAATAAAAGCCCACACAAAGTTTAAATAACTGACTTTCCTCTGTTGGTAATCTAGCTACAGTTAATGAGAGCTAGTATATTGTGGTGATTGTATCACGGCTAGTGACTCTGAGCAAGAAAGTTCCACCTCTTTTATCAAGATTTGTTTGTGTACTTGCATTAGAGATTTAGTAGGTGATTAGTTTCTTATGCTGGTACTGAACCACTGTAAGGAACACCATCTTGTAAGTCATGCTGTGTTTCACATAGAGAATCACAGAATGGCTTGGGGGGGAGAGGACCTTAAAGATCATCAGTTCCAGGACAGGGATACCTTTCACTGGATTGGGTTGCTCAGACCCCCATCCAGCCTGCTCTTGAGGATGGATAGGTAATCCACAGCTTCTCTGGGCAACATGTTCCATTGCCTCACCCCCCTCACAGTAAAAAGTATCTTTAGCATATGTAATCTAAACCTTCTCTTTCAGTCTGAATGCATTCCCCCTTATTGTTATGTGCTCTCTCCATCTTTCTTGTAGACTTCCTTCAGACACTGGACAGTTACAATTACCCCAAAGCCTTCTCTCCTCCAGGATGAACAATCCCAATTCTCCCAGTCTTTTCAAAGGAGAGGTTTTCCATCCCTTTAGTTTTCCTGCTGGTCATTCTCTAGACTAGCTCCAACAGGTCCATGCCTTTCCTGTGCTGAGGAACATAGAAGAGGATGCAGCACTCCAGGTTGTGTCCTCACGAGAGTGGAGTAGAAGGGAAGAATCCCCTCCCTCAGCTGCTTACCATTCCTTTTGATGCACTCCAGGACACGTTTGGCTTTCTGGGCTGGGAGTGCCCATGACTGGGTCATGTCCAGCCTCTCATCCACCAGCACCCCCAAGTCCTTCTGGGCAGGGCTGCTCTCCCTCTGTTCATCCCTCAGCCTGTGTTTTAACGGGTTGTCCTGACCCATGTACAGCACCTCGCCCTTGCACTAGCACTTAGTGCAGCAAGTTGCACTTGTGCCAAGTGGGAAAATGGAAAAATAAGTGGGAAATTCCCATAGACTCAATTTTCAATCTTGTGCAGGTCCCTCTGGATGACATTCCATCTTCCAGGTGTATCAACACCACTTAGCTTGGTGTCCTCTACAAATTTGCAGAGGGTACACTTAATCCTTTTGTGTATGTCATAAAGGAAGATATTGATTACTACTGGTGCCAATACAGACTCCTGTGGGACACCACTTGTCACTGATGTCCATCAGGACACTAAGCTATTGACCACCACCCTCTGGATGTGGCTGTCATCCCAATTCTTTATCCACCCAACAGTCCACCTGCTGAATCCATGTCTTGCCAAATAAGAGAGAAAGACATTGTGAGGGACAGTGTCAAAGGCTTTACAGAAGTCCAGATAAATGGCATCTGTAGCCTTTCCATGGTCCACTAGTGTAGTCCTTCCATCACAGAAGGCCACTGTCTTGGTCAGGCAAGTGTTGCCCTTAGTGAAGCCCTGCTGGCTATCCCAAATCATCTTGCTGTTCACTTTGTGCCCTAGCGTAGTTAGTAGGATGATCTGTTCCAGGACCTTCCCAGGCACAGAGGTGAGACTGACAGTTTGGTTATGCCCAAGGTTCTCCTTTCTAGCTTTATTAAAGATCAATGCTGTGTTTCCCTTTTTCCACTCATCAGGAACTTCCCTTGACTTCCATGAGTCTCTGGATGTCAGGGAGATTGGCTTGTTAACAACATCAGCCAATTCCCTCAGAACTCTGATATGCATTCATCAGGCCCCAAAAACTTATGTATGTTCAGGTTCCTCAGATGGTCATGAAACTGATCTTGTGGGAGGAAGTTTTCTCTTCCAGTCCACATCCTGCAATCCATCCAGTCAAGAGGGGTGGGAAAAGAGGTTGCCATTAAAGAATGAGCAGCTAAGCTTTCTCTTCATCCATTGTTACTAGTTTTCCAGCATATTTTATCAGAAGAGGTATATTCTTTGAGCTTCTTTTCTGGCTGACATCAGTTCTTAACTGTATGGAGCCTGATACACTGATACCAAGCCTTTGACTGTTGGAATGTGTTTCCATATGTGTTGTGGTTTAGGAATTGTATTCTCCAATTTAGTGCTCCTGCTCAAAACACACCAGACAATGTGCTATGCCTGCCTTCCCCTGTAGCAAGAGAAGAATGGAGGCACAAAAAAAGTAAAGATCATGGGTTGAGATAAGAGTGATTTAGTGGAAACAGCAATGAAATAAATAAAAAAAAAACTAAACAGGAAAAACAATACTAATAACAGTGTACGGGACAGGTGAATGATTCACACATGATTGCTCATTATGTCCTGGCGTTATCTGACTGTGCACTCCAGTAAAGTGAAAAAGGCAGGTGTGACTACCTCACCATGTGTTGAGGTGAAGAGCCTTAGGTCCTGGCCATGACCCTGGCTGCTGCAAAGTCAACCCTGTTGACTGGCCAGAATAAGGACATGTTAGTAAGTGGGGACCATGAAGTGTTGTTATGGGGCTGGTCTTTTGATGCCCTTCGCAGATAAGCAGATACTTATGGGAACACAGGAATTTCACAAATTCCATTGAAAGAGGATAGCTTGAGATCATAAAGATCAATACACAACAACTCCAGATGGAGTGCTTTTGCATGATTTAAAATGAATAAATTCTTTATGAGCATTCATTTTAATATTAGTCACAGAAATTATCAAAAATGTAAAGCCTTTAAAGCTATTTTCATCAGCGTTACTTAATCAAACCAGTATTTTTTTTTTTTTTTGCAACTCTGCCTTTATCTTGAAAAGGAAAAAAATGTAAGGAATACAAAAAATTCAACATATGGCTCTTGTCATGGATTTTATGTAGAAGTGAATCGCATGCTACATTGATTACTGCCAGCACAAAACCCTAGATAAATTGGGTAAGATGGAAAACACACTATATTAATATTTCTTATGACTTCAACTCTTTTCCCCAGAAAACTTTAGTGACACCTGATAGTTTGGAGCTTTATTTATCTCATTATTCCTTTTTCTGAAGAATTGGCTTGTTTTTGCAGGAGAAGCTTAATGTCAACAATATGGGGCATCAGGTGATAATATTTGACTTTTCTGTCATAAGAGGACTGTGGGAAACTCGAGTTAAGAAGAGCAAAGAACGTCAGAGGAAAGAGAAAGAAAGATTAGAACAAAGTGCATTGGAGAAGTAAGACCACTTTTGTGTTATTAATTTTAACTAAACCTGTTCTTATTATCCACTAACATTTCCATATACTTAATATAATAAATGGAAATATATGTAAAAAATATGATGAATGTACTAAAAAATAATTGTTGATTATTAAAATTTTGGGATTTGGGTTTGATTTCAATGACATCTTACTTCCTATCCTCACATGATAGTAGGAGAAATGCAGCACAAACAATACTTATATTTCATTAGTTTATGCTCGTTTCTATGTAGATTTTGCTATATTAATGATATATTTTATTGTTTACCATAGACATAAATTGAAGAGAAAAATAACATATGTTTGTTACTTTCTATTTTAATATAGTGCATAAAAGTAGGGATTATTAATTATAGAATTAGTGAACATAAGCTCACAAGCTTCAGTACTAAGAAATACTATAAGTATTTTTGTTGTGTTGAGGGGAGAAAGAAAAGGACTTAAATAAGTAGACATATTCAATTGTTTCTGAATAGGTAATACCAAAAGGAATAAGAATTATTGGGTTATTTTTTCTTGGGGTATTAAAGAAGGCCTTGATTATAATGTTTATGTCCAATGATAATTTTATTGTTTTTATTATACTGAAGTTTTTTTTTCTTTAAGCTATATTTTGTTGATCATATGGCACTGTTGAATATTAAACTGCATTGGGAAGTTTGAAAACATGGGACTTATCAATTTCCTCCCTCTGAGAACAGAAAAAAATAGAAATCACTTTCTGTTTTAAAAATAAAATGCACAGGGTTAAAAAGTGCCCTTGTTTAAGAACATAATTGCACTGAACCTTTGTGTGGTGTTTCAGCACTCTCAGGATACCCTCACTAGCAGATTCTCACTACTGGGGTAGCTGCACTGGCAACAGAGCAGCTGGTCTAGGAGGAGGCAAGGGTAATACAGAGTCTGACTGGTCTTTCTGGGACCTTTCTCTTTAAAAGAGCCATAGCAGCGGTCTTTGTTTTCCCATCTCTAAAGCTTACCATAAAACCGTAATTCTAACAAAAACAGAAAAAAAAAAAAAAAAAAAAAAAAAGAGAGGTTCATACTTTAGATTGAATTCTCTAGCGAGGATAAGCATTCTTTTTGGTGTGAGCTGTGTCCTGGTTTCAAGTAGGATAGAATTAGTTTTTTTCTTACTAACTGGTACAGTGCTGTGTTTTGGACTTAGTATGAGAATAATGTTGATAACACACTGTTGTTTAGATTGTTGCTAAGTAGTGCTTATGCTAAGACAAGGACTTTCCAGTGTCTCATTCTCTGCTACTGAGGGGCTGAACACAGAGCTGGCAGGGAGCACAGCCAGGACAGCTGACCTGAACGTGATATTCCATACCATAGAACTTTATTCTTGCCATATAAATTGGTGGAATTGGCTAGAAGTGAGTGATTTTGTTTCTCAGAAATCAACTAGGATTGTGTCAGCAGGTCGTGAGCAGTTGTATTTGACGTTATTTATCTTGGGTTTCCTTTCTCTCTTTTTGTTATTATTATTGCAATGAATATTAATAGTATTATTATATTTTACTTTGTTTCTATTATTAAACTATTCTTAACTCAAAGCAGAAGTATTACTTTTTTATCCTGATTTTTCTGCCCATCCTGCTGGAGGGTTGGGGAGTAAATGTCTGTGCGGTACTTGGTTACCATCTGAGGTTAAACCATGACAGCTGAGAGATGGATGTTTGCTGTTTCCCTTATGGTAGAAAACACAAGTGAAAGGGCTTGGGATCAAACTTAATCAAACCTTATTTCTGTCCTAATGTGGACAACGTGTCAACATCCCCCTGCCGCTTTTTTTCTTGGTTTTGGTTTTCTGTGGTGCAGAAGATAACTTTTGAGTTCACTAGTACAAAAGAAAAAGATGCACGGTAAGTTCTTTCTGTAAGAGGGAAAGATGCCTTATGTCCTCTGAGGTAGCTAATTTGAGTTCCCATGGCTTTTGTCAGTAGCATATGTCAAGAATAAGTTCTTACAGTGATTTGTCTTTTCCTGAAACCAGTGCATTCTCCCTGGTTTTTTCTGCCTGTGGTTAATTATTGTAGACATACTTCTATTTGAAAGAGTGGAGCTTCACTGCTTTTTCTGCGTTTTTTCCGCTAATGATGTCCAAATTAATTCTCTTTTCTTCCCGTATCAAAGATAGGAAATTTGAGACATAATGCACAGAAATAAATGTGCACTTGCTACATGTGCAAAGGATTTTTTCTTCCTTTGAATTGCAATTTGTGTATTGTACTTTGTTTAGTTGTGTGTCTTTGTGCACTCAGATTGCTTTCCAGTTAGTTCTACTTGTAGAGCTCCTGGAAAAAAAAGGAGGAAATAGATTAGACTTTGTCTCCTGAGCTGAGTGATCAGTATTACACCCACTGAAACAAATGCCAAAGTTCGTGCTCGTTCTCATGATGCAGGCCTTATAGAATGGTCAAAGCTGATAGAATAATGGTCAAAGTAATAAGAATATTAGCAATAATATGCCAAATTCAGTTAAAAGAAAATCCTCATTGTTTTATGAGGTGTGCAGTGACCACTGGCATTTAGGTCCTAAATGTCAGCTCACAAGTTACTCATTATATGCTTTTCAGTGCTCTCAAATGTCAGACCAAAAATGTGAGAAGATTTTGCTGATTTTTAGCTTGAAAGCATAGATAAAACTATATTTCTAATTAAATAATAGAAATAGTGTTTCCATATATAAATACATTTCATTATTTTATGGAGTTCTGCATTGATCAAATTCAGGTATCATACTCAGGGATTAAAGTTTTACTATTGTTAGGTAGGTTCACCGAAATCAATGCAAGTTCATACTGTGTCACAGTAAGAAAGTATTTTGATCCAAAATTATAATTCCCAAAAGACATTTAAAGAGGGAACTTTCCTGAAATGAAGACTACATTCTAGCATTTAAGGCTCTAGACATTCACTTTTGTTAGAAGTCAGAGTGAATTCTTAAGTAGTGTTGAAATTAATAAAGTTTCTCTGCAAATACACTCATGGAACAGAGTTGGGAATCTGGTCTTTGGGGTTGGGTTTTTTTTTTTTGTGGGTTTATTTCCCCTCTTTTTTTCTTTTCTTTTTTTTTTTAAAAAAAAACAACAAAAAACCACCAAGTTTTCCTCAAAGAGGTTATAATTTGCTAATGCCTTTGAGATTGTGAAGTTTCTTTATATTCTGTGTTACTATTTAAAATGACCTGATAATATGTAGTGAAATGTACCATGTATTATTCGAGGACAAACTTCCGGTCAACTTCTAGGGAGCTCTGTTTGCTGTGGGGCAAGGTGATTTAGTTCTTGCAGCCTCATTAAACTGTAAGATAATTTTTGACTGAAGATTTTCTTCAGAGGAAAATTCCACAAATGAATGAAAAGCTTCAGCTGGGCATTAATGGTGAGGTCTTGTAAAGACTTGTTTGCAAGGCAGATGTTAAAGTAACTGGCCAGTGAAAGCTGATTCTGGACAACCAATTACTGAGAATACTGGCCTTCTGAGGTAAACATCAGATAAATTTTTTTTATGGATTTAATTCAGTCCTCTGTTTTGTCTTTGGTTTTGTGGGACTGTGAAAGTGTGGCAGTTTGAAGAACACATGTAAACCAACAACTGAACATAAAAGACAAAGAAATGGAACAGCGTTGGGTAGGCTTATTTTCATTTTATGTCATCTTCTTGATAATGTCAGACAAGCCCATTTGAAATCTCCCATAGGATATGAACTACAAACTGTTAAAAAAAATGTGTACAGTCCTGAGATTTCCTATATGTTTATGAAGGTGCATATCATGGAAAGAAGTGTGTGTTTATAGCACTGTTTTATATTTAGTCTTCTAGATAGATTCTTGTAGTGGTGATCTTTTATTAAAATCATCTTTTATTGTTCCCCAAAATCCTGAATACTGTCAGATGACCTTGATGTGGTATAATGATTTTCTTCACTGAGATTTCCTTTTTACCTTTTTTTTTTTTAAATTTTTTTTCTTTTTATTTTTTTTTATTATTTTTTAAGGGAAAAGGAGTGAATGTTTACAGTTAGGGTTTTTTTTGAGGGATGGCAACATGTTTGTCATTTGTGTGAGAAGTAGGTAAGATAAATTTGAAGGCTAACAAATTAAACATTCTAGTGAGGAAATGCCAGAGCTGTTTGCCCAGATTAGCTATCCAAATCTTTGCTGTGAAATGGCACAGCCTTCTCTGTCCACCAACAAACATGCAGCAAAAATAAAAGTTTGTTCAGCTACCTCTTCCACTGTCTCCTCTCCAAAAATTTCTTCTCAAAGTCTGGATAATTCAATGTGCATGTATTATTTCTTGAGTTATATACTTCTTCAATATTAAAAGTAAAGAGCAACAAGAAAACTGCACTTTGCAGGCAAACTGACTTTTTTCCCCTGAGAGTTTACATGTTTGTTTAATAAAAAAGATTTGTCACTATCTCTCTGCCAAACTTCAGTGTTATAACTCTATTTGTACCTTAACTAAAATTTTATTTGTTGTGTTTATCTTTATTCTCCTACTCAATAACCAATGCAGAACTTTTTCCAAGCTAGTCTAAAACTGGAGCTGGCAGTCCCTTGGCTGCAAATTACAGTCAACAATTTTGGTTTCAATCTGCAGCACTAATAAAAATACTAAGTTATTTGCCTTTGTTTGTAGGCACTTGTGCATACAGACCATGCATCTAAAGTAATGCCCAGAAGTGCATTGTAAGATAAAAGCTGATGTTCAGCCACAATCCTTTAAATTGCATGGCAGAGCCTGGCAGTGATACTGAAATTGAATCAATCCAATTGAATCTGACGCAAATGTTACTCATCCATCAGGAATATTATTCTGGGCTGAGCTCCAGTTCTACTGTGATGGTCTTCTAAAAATTCCATAGGATTATTTAATGATCCTGCACATCCAGTGGCTCTGATTTAAACATTGCTCAGGAGTTCTAAACTGGTGTCACCATGTAGTGTCCCAGTCAATTCTT